TGTGTGTGTGTGTGTGTGTGTGTGTGTGTGTGTGTGTGTGTGTGTGTGTGTGTGTGTGTGTGTGTGTGTGTGTGTGTGTGCGTATGTGTGTGTGTGTGTGTGTATGTATATTATATATATATATTTATATATATATATATTGACTTGACTGCACTCGTCTTTGTGTTAAATATTGTAAAGTTTGCAAAACTGTGGGGATTTTTATGCTTCGTGCATAACACATATTGCAGTTTGACTTGTTCCTGTGCTCTGATCCCAATGGTGAAATCATGGTACCTGTCACATGCAAGTTCAGTGACTTGCGAATCTATCACTATCATATGTACAAGTCGAGCATTGTAGATGCTTTCATAACCCCGTAGCGAAGTCTCAGTGCTCATATGTTCTATACACAGTGGCGAATGGCTTAATCTGTGTATGGTCGCCTGAATCGGCCACGTTGTTGCACACTCTGAAGGGACACAAACAGGGCATCTCTGATGTTAGCTGGGCACCAGACTCGCAGCACATCTGCAGCGCCTCCGATGATACAGAAATCAAAATATGGGACGCCATCAAGGTGAGTTGTGTATTCGGGTGAAGTACACCTCTATTGTATACATTTCAATTAGGAAGGGGGAGATAAAATCCAAAGATTCGTCTGCTCTTCGTTTTGTATAAAAACTCTATGAGCAGGTTCATACAAAACGTCGATTTCGGAACTTAAAAAACACCGGGGGGGGGGGGTTGGTTGGGAGGGTTTAATATGCAAGGTGTGCGTCTGTGTGCGCTTGGGGCTTTCTGGGTGTACAAAATGCATGCTCGTCCAAGTATAGCCCTATATCTGTCACGTATAAATGTTGGGAGGGTTTAATATGCAAGGTGTGCGCTTGGGGCTTTCTGGGTATACAAAATGCATGCTCGTCTAAGTATAGCCCTATATCTGTGCACGTATAAATTTTGGGAGGGTTTAATATGCAAGGTGTGCGTTTGTGTGCGCTTGGGGCTTTCTGGGTATACAAAATGCATGCTCGTCTAAGTATAGCCCTATATCTGTGCACGTATAAATATAGCCTTATATCTGTGCACGTCTAAATATAGCCTTATATCTGTGCACCCGCATGTGTTTACATGTGTGTAGTTATTGCCGTGGTTCCGCGCTTCGGATAAGTGTGGTATTATAACGTCGAAATCGACAAATGCTTCTTATACTGAGATTCCTTATACTAGATTAGGATCGAGTCATAGCACCATAGAGCTATATAAACAAGTTCTTAAGAAATTATATATATTCATGAGAGAGGGGATGTGGGTGTTTCCTAAAAGTCGCCTGACTGATGCCTTGTACCATATGATGACGCACTATTGGCTGCAGGGTGTTGCGGTGGGTCTCCTGCACGGCCATACCGTTGTGGTGCTGTGCGTCTGTTATAACCCGCACTCCACACTAGTGGCATCGGGTGCTGAGGATGGGACGCTGCGCTTGTGGGATGTGATGGTATGTGGATATGTCTTGGTCTATGATGGCCAGGTTCAAAGAGGGGTTTGTAGCACGGGTGCAGCACTTACGATTTTTAAGCACCTGTTTTATCAGTGGTTTGGATAGTTGTATACATATATATAATACATTCGTTATTTCTGTACTATGGGTTTTAGGGTTTAGTTCTGCACTTATCATTGTTTTGGTTCTTATTGATGTTGTCCTGCATGATTCTGATCCGGTGTGATAATTATCTGAGTTTGCGATGTTCCATAGTTAATTTATATCCAGAAATGTATTCTTCATGCAAATGCAGTTCGTGTGGAAGGTTTCCAATCCTCTTGATTATCATAGTCAGTTAGATGATAGACTCATCAGTCAGCCAAGTGCGCATCGGTGAGGGTTTATAAACACCTAGGCTTATCTAGGGTGTTGCAGCTATGTATGTGAAATATAAATAGTTGCGCAACAGTACATTATCCCCATGTGCTGCGTTGTAGAGCGTTTTAAGAAGAATGGCTCATATCGTTGCTTGGCTACGGCAGCCAAGTACCGTACAATCGTGCTTTACGCCCTTATTGAGATTCGAACATGTTTATTCACAACTGAGTGAAGGCCATAATCCTTGAGTCTGTGACATATCCAACAAGTAGTCACTCGTACGATCTAGTTGTGATGTGTGATCGCAGTCATAGGCGTACTAGGCTACCAGATATGCTGAGTTAGGCCATCAGATATGCTGAGGTAGGCTATCAGATATGCTGAGTTAGGCTATCAGATATGCTGAGTTAGGCTATCAGATATGCTGAGTTAGGCTATCAGATATGCTGAGGTAGGCTATCAGATATGCTGAGTTAGGCTACCAGATATGCTGAGTTAGGCTATCAGATATGCTGAGTTAGGCTATCAGATATGCTGAGTTAGGCTATCAGATATGCTGAGTTTGGCTATCAGATATACTGCGTGCACAAAATCAACTCAGAGTAGTGGTTCTAGAACGAATTGGTCGTGACTCTACTTATACATCTGCCAAAGAAAGAATGCAACTCTCATTTGGTCCCGCTCAAAGCGCATACGAGAGTATTATCGCTGAGAAGGTTCGTATATTTGTCTTACAAAGAGCGAGAAATTGTGCTTCGAAGTAGTATAGCTCGGCGGATATCGGAAGGCACCCTTCGTCTGATGGACGAGAATTAGATCAGGTCTATGGGTTGTACATATCCGTCTGTATTCTGGATGTATGGTTCTATACGAATTGCCGTATGCCAAAGATATGGTGCACTGAATTCTACACACGAGTACTTGCGGAGTGTGTGTAGGGGGACTGACTGTATTAAAGTTCGGACCACCGAGGCGCAGCTGGTTTAGCTTGATTAGCCCGTAGCGCGTCTCAGTCCATAGTACAGTCATCGTATCTGCCGTTTCACAAATCTGCAGTCAACTCTGCTGGGCTAGACTGTGAACACCACACAAGTACATACCACTATGGATGAGTTCAGTTTTCAGTCCGGTTCTCAGCGCCTCACCCGTGGTTGAGTCTGAGATGTATGGAAATATTGTAACGCGACTTATCACCTCTGTCTCGCAGTATATGATACACATGCTGGCTTTCTTGACATATATAGCACAATATCGATATATATATATATATATAATATCGATATATATATATATATATATATATATATATTATATATATTATTATATATATATATATATATATATATATATATAGTATATATA